AAAAAGTATTTATTTGAAAAAAGAATTAAAAATGTACTTAATAGAAAAACGAAAATAAATATAACAAATTATTTCTGAGGAATTGTGTTATAACCATTGACTTACAATTATATGGACGTCGGGTCCGCGCTAAAAAGTGTCCGAACTTATAGGGCGTTAAAATCGTATACAGAGCGTCATTCACGCTCTAGTCTTCGTTTGTTCGACTGACAGCGAAGCAAGCAAAATTAGACAGTACTGCGATGACACTACAATTTAAATTCAACGTTTAGCTTTTTCATATTCCTTGACATGTCACTACGTTTAAATAGGTTGACTTGGAACATTTTTTTCGTGGTTTTTGTATTAGACCCGTCGTCCATTTATTTGTAAGTCAATGATTAAAACATTCGGAATTGGCAAAAAATACATAAGTGGTACTTAATAAGTTAATTAGGCTCTGTAGCAGCCACAGCCTGAATGTCAGAAGAGGGCGTCGAGCATGTGCGAGAATTCAGCGGAAGACTTTGCTCGTAGGTATCTAGTTTGTACGTTACATAATTGACCATACAATTCATTATGCTACGTACAATATCGTTACAAAAATTCGCTTCCATTCCATTCCGCCGCAATATAAATTGAGACTAAGGGTCGTATTCTAGAACTCTACTCAATGCTCAAGTCAGGATTTGAGTATGGTTTAAAGCACTCGAAAACATACTTAAGTCCCTGCCATTAGGGTCGTATTTCCAGTGCTTGTGTTTCCAGTGCAATCCTGACTTGAGCATTGAGTAGAGTTCTAGAATACCACCCTTAGAAAGAGATAAAGTATAATTTCGCTGTGTCCACCGATGGCGCACCCCGCCCCGACACATTTTTTGCTTGATGGGGCAATGATGTACCACCGCACTGGTGGCCATGGGAGAATCTTTCCCCCTGGACAGCAAATAATGGTAATTTTGATCCCGGTCTGAACGTGTTAAGCATAAAAACGTTATTGACTAATTTCGTACGTAGACACTTTAAACTTCTCCTAAAAATCGTCATTTCGCGTATGTGGTGTTTGCACCAAAGGTGCAAAATGTTCATTACAATCTCAAAACCATTATCCAGTTCAGATTGGTTATTAATTTCAGACTGAATTGGAACTGTACTTTGAAAAACGCTTTAATTCTCATTGTGGTGACGATATTGCAATATAAAACCGTTCGCTCACAGCCTGACATTAAATATTTAATATGCATCGTATTGTCCGCGACAATCGTATGAAATTCGCATGAGCTGGCATAACGCTAGTCAAGTGCCGCGACATCACTCGGGTACCGCCATTTCTGACATTTTAATTATACCGCCCTTTCGTATAGGCGTCACTGAGAGCGATTAACGGGTTGTGTTGAAACCATATACCTCACATGAATTCTCTTGTCATTCTGAAAATGTTTACTTGTAAAATAGCAGAGCCCATGCTTGAGCATTTTGTTGGTGTGTTAGTACGACAACACACCCAAAATTTTAAATTAAATTAAAATGTAGATCAAGCTGGGGATGCAATTTTTATTTTATTTTATTTCAGTTTTAATGTTTATTTTTGCGTATTTTATTTCAATAAAAAAATTGGAATGTTTATTATAATATTTCAACTTTTAGTTTTTAATGTTAAATTATTTCATTTTTATATTATTTTAAATTAAAATTTTATTTTTGATTGTATTGTATTTTATTACATTTATGTATATTGAACTGTAAACTAACGTAGTACCTAACTAAGGTTTCTGTAAAACTAACAAGTGAACCTAACTACTAAAAACTAAAAAGTATGTTGTCTTAAATTAAAAAAAAACTATTATTATTAATTAATTAAAAGAAGCTATTGACTAGACTCAGCCGATTTGGCTCCGATAAAATAGAATATATTCTAAGGACTCGATGTTCTCATCTTCTTGAACGGAATCACCGCATTTATTTTATTTATATTCAGGTTACAAAGATCCATAAATATAAACCTTATAGACTAACATACATAATAATGTGATAAACACTAATGACTATTTATTATTTACACGTATTGTCTGCGACGTATGACGTGTGACGCAACGTGGGTGCCCGGTAGTAGGTCTTGGAAAGGCACATGACTCTCTTCGGCCAAAACTCATCCTTGAAAGTCCGCAGAAGATGAGTTGGTACTCTCATTATAAATGAATTAAAATTTATACTGTGGCGGGACCCCACTGCTCGACCCTCATTTCTGAACGCGGGGTCCGCTGAAGCGTGATATGAGCAAAAAAACCTCTTATTCCCTGGATGTAAAGCCTTTTTTGACCATTTTAAAGGGTGTCAATAAGTGGGGTAACTCCATAATTCCCATTCCTTAGAACAAGCTCTATCTCTCTGTTCTCCTGATTTTATATTTTAATAAATAAAAAAAAAAGAATTATTTCCGAAAGAGTTTTAATAGACATTTATTTTGGTATAAATATCTAAATTTTCCTGTTACAAACTATTCCCACACTTACTGTAATAAGACTACATCTACAAAATGACAACTTTTCAGTAAACAGATGATTCCTGCGAGGTATGTGGTTTCCCGTGGGGTAATCATAAGCAATTGTGAAGCTTGAGTGCTAATGTAAATAGAGTTTTCTCGATTATGTTAACGAGGAAGTAATAACTGTTAGATAACATCTGAACCCTACCGTTTATTTCTTGTATAAAATATGAGGGAGCTATGAACCCCTAACATACTTTAATGCTTAATAAAATCGTATTCTTTTGTGAAATTGTAGGTTTATGGACTTCAGAAATAACAAGTACAACAACCTTTTCAAATACTGATTAGACAAAATGTGCATAGTCGCTTCATCTCTATTAGTAAATAGTACCACGTACACCGCTCTCAGTGACACCACACCCATCACCCCGGCGTCCACGCAAGCGTCCTTAATTAGGCATTCCTGCGTCGTCCGGCTGCGTACGCGCCGCCCGGCGGCGTCTTTGTCGCCCCGTCCCGCTCGCACAATACAGCTATTCATACTACAACACCAGCACAACTTGACCCCAATAGCCCTTTCAATATCAAACGAAATGCCTTATTTAAAAGACCAAGTTACACTAGAAGAGATGCCTTTGAAAGATATCAAAGTTTATGAAGTGCATTTCGAAGAGATGCTCTTGGTTCCGATGATAATCCTTCATTATTATATTATTATTATTCAGTATAATACGTTGTAGAAAGTTAACAAAAGGCGTAAAAGATACAAATCATTTAAGGAATGCTAGAAGATAAGAAGGCATGAAGTTTTCATATTATAACTTCAGTTTCACTGGTTTCTTTATGTCAGAATTAAAGTACTCCAAACAAAGAGACTTGAGCAGCAATTCACAGACAAAATCCGAGAAATAAAAATTTCAAAACCAAAAATATTGACTCTACCTGAGAACCCTAAAAATACTATTTCATAAAATATGTACTCTATCCGAAGTTGTTTAAAGTAAAGAATCGAATGGAGCTGGAATGTGTGTTGGAGGTGTTATTAGACCGGCGGAGGCCCTAATTGCGTATTCTAGCTGACGCCGCGGATAAAAGCCGAGACGAAACGTTCTCCTCCAACGGTGGAAATATTTCCCTTCTTTTAGCTCCGGTGAAGTCGGTTAAAAACTCGAATTAAGTTTTTCAGATCATGGTCTTAGCAATTGAACATACAAACTTAACAAGTGCAGATTATTTGTAGCACTATAACATAAGTATGGTATGGTGAATAAGTAGTTAACTTAAAATTTAAAAGAAAAGCCCGATACAAAATAGTGTACTCCCAAAAGTTACCTAATCTGTAACAATTAATTCAATGAGCAGAAACACGATTCTTCTGCTGTGACTCGAAGTTGGGATTCACGTAAGCAACCTCCCCGCATTCCCTTCCTGTACGTATTGCTGGTTGCAAAATCATAGCAAGGTGTCCATATTATTGTAATATCGTCAAATTCATTATAATACCTCCAATGGACACTAGGCTTACTTTATTTCTTGGTCATTTTCTGTTATATTTGTAAACAGCCGTAATTTATTTACTAATATTACACTCCCCGGATATTGTGAAAAAAAAATAAAGAAACAAAAAACAAAATGCGAAAAAAAAATCTGAAAAAAAGAAACAAAAAAGCAAAATAAAAACAGAACAGGTCCAAAAATTAAGTTGGCGTAATGGTCATTGGAGGTTTCGATTCAGATTTCAAAACGTCAAGTTGAATCGATTTACGGACGACTGAGATCCCTACACTAACTGGGAAAAGAACTAGTGATCTTTAAACAGCTGACCCGATGTTTATCTAACGTAGTTAGAACCAAACCAAAGAACCATCCGGTTCAAATTAGCCTTCAATTAAAAAAAATCGCATTAAGATCAGTACAGCCATTTAAGAACAACGATGCCACAGATAGATATTGATATTAGATAAATACACAGGCAAAGGCTTCTAGCATATAACTCCTCTATTTTTACGTCCTTGGTTAGCGACGAAACAGAATATTTTAAGAATCTCGGTAATTTATTGCTAAACTGAAATGTTTAAAACCTTCTTATTGGTAGTTCCATTTTACTTTGTCCTAATCGATCAAATGTCGACTCTACATTATCTTCCTACACTTAATCTTTTTTAGCCACTGGGTCAGCTCCCAGCTATCACTCTCTCAGACCTAACACAGAAATGGTGTAATAAACTTTTCGAACCTCTCAATTATCCGACACTTTTATTGCAGCAATTTCGGAAAATAAAATCCAGCCCCATGGGCAGATACACTTAATTTTATATGTGGCCCATTGTTCCACCCGTCTCTTTTACTCGTACGTCTGTTGAAAGGAGATGGATAAAATTACCACTGATTGCAGTGAGCCGTACACGAATTAGGCCCTTTTTTTCTTCTTTAATGCCCTGCTCATGCGTTCAGACTTTTTATCGGAACATATGCACGGCTCTGTGCGCACCGGCCGCAACCGGTTCGTTCTTTTGCCTTTGAAACGCCGCGCCGCATTCGAAATTCGAATCAGTCCGCGCCGAACTGTCAACAGGTGGGGACGTGCGTTCTAACATTTGAAAAAGAAAAATGTTTACGATACAGAGTTGCAAAGAAGTGTTATCATAACTGAGAATTGTTTGAATATGACATAATTTTGGTGTTTTTTTTACTATTGTGAGTTTATAAACATGGCTCGGATTTTACTTGTTTTGATATTTGGAGTTTGGTTGGTGTCTGCTGACCAGGAGGAGGTGGAAGGTGGAAAGTGTGAGACGATCAAGCTGCCTTTATGCCAGGATTTCGTATATAATTGGACTGCTATGCCCAATCTGATGGGTCACAATGATCAGAACGAAGCAGAAGAAGCGGTGAGTTACATTTTATTTTATAGAGCTTGTACTAAAGTAGAGAAAAGGAAAAGTTATTGTAAGAGAATATACGAAAGACAATAGGTAGTGGAAACGAAGGATCAAAAAAGTATAACACTTATAAAAAGAAACCTCTAGCAGCAATAATCGATATTTCCACTAATGGTTAACTATATCAAAAGTACCCCTCCGCAGATTTATAGTAGACAATTGATTATAGATTTAATGGTTTGTAAAACTGTTGTTGAAATTGTAGCAGATAATGTAGGGGTGAACTGTATTGTTGACTTTAACTACTGTATGGACGATAAGGGGACAGTATTTGCAAGTATTGTTCTAAATTCCCACGAGAACTATAACGTCACATAAATAAAAAAAAAAAGAAAATCCAATAATTATCTTTAAATTTTATTCCAAAAATTGTAAAGACATAGAACTTAGGTGTTTAGGTGAAACACTATCTTTGTAAGTTTCTAAAATAACTTCATAAGCAACCGTTTTTTTCTAAAGAAAGTAATGCAAATGCCATCGTTGACAGTTCATTAAAGCTATAAATAAATGCATGTATAACATTATCGCTGTTCAATTAAAATCCAATTCGAGACGTGGCGCCAGAGCCGTGATGGTAATATAACGAGTGTAATAACATAACGTTCATTAGCAATTGTAATTTTGTTCTATGGCAGTACGTTCATGTCATTTGCCGTGTTTAAAATTTGTCAAAGATTAAATCGTAATCATTTAAAGATCGGAACATATTTTTAAATAATTTTTTATGTAACATTAGGTCTTGTCAATCACTGTTGTAATATTTGCGTTTATTTTCCAAAAGCGTTGCTCCATGTGGCACGAAATGGCAAGAAACTTGATATTGTCACTTAAATAATGTTGCATGTGTACGAGTACATAAGTACACACAAGTTCTCTGCATAAATTGTCGTTTATGATAGCTGTCAGAACAGTAAAACATTCTCACTACAATACAATTTGCATAATTTATTCATAACTTTTGTTAAACGTAGAATTTCTTTTCTTTCACCGTTTAAAAGCAATGTTTACGCTCTACACATGACAGATCAAACATCGTAACAAATGATAAATTGTAAAAGCCACGGGCCTAAGAATGATCCTTAAAGCACCCATACATTTGATATCTATTAATTACTTTATTTTAAGTGATATTTAAGACGAATAACTAAATTTTAAGGCACTAAAAGCTTTGTTTATTACGTTGTTTACAATTTACATGTACTAAAAGCGTGGGTGACGAACGACAGACGTAAGCGATAAGAGTCTAACGCTATCGTCAGATCAAAGGAGCCGAAGCATCGCATATCTTTATTGATATACGCCAAATGTGTGGTCGCCGCGAATTTGTTTATCCGTGTACCCCGTGCACGTAGCCGCATCACCTTAATTACCATGCAGATATGAATTTATAACTTTGATTTTATTTGCGATTTTAACGTTATTGTAAAAAGATTATAAACATTTTCAGAGAAAATGTACGGCGTAAGATTTTTATTATGATTGCATTTATTTATTGCTTAGATATATAAATTTACATCAAACGTTGTAGTTGCGTATATAAAAATAATTTACTTTTTGTGACCGACAGTATCATTTTTACCGCACTTTTCTTTTTAACATCACTTAAAAATCGCTTTATATATAGCTTCTGTCTTATTTCTTAACACGTTTGTTCGTGAAAACAATCCACAGTTACGATATATTCACCATCAACGTAGAAAACAAAACAAATTTCAGTTAAAATTAAACAAGTTAAAATAAATACTACTAGCATGGACTATGTTTAGCTAAATTTAATAACAATTTTGAAGGCATAAAAAGTACAAAAGGTTAATTAGGCAACTTTTGCGCACTTGAACTTTTTGTATAAACGTTTTGCACTACGCAATCAATTATTAAAGAGTACTTCACGAGTCTGGATTTGTTCAACTCGAAATAAATAACCAATGAGCGTTCGGAACAACATATTGGAAAGAAGAAAACTTTCTAAGTGTCTTTTTTAATAATGAAAACATTTCAGTCTATCAAAGAGATTCTAAGACCAATAGAAAAGAAAAATGGAAAAGTTATTAATAATAACGATGAAACTTACGACAATCGGTCGATTGCAGATTGCACATTGCTTTGTAAAAGCAAGTGCAATCTAAAGAATCTACTTAACAATCTTTCGCTAATTACTTTAGAGTTAATAGAATATAAGCAGAAGAAGGTCACAAAAACCAATTCTAAAGAACAGATGTAAAAAGGCTATATACCAGAATATTTCCGACGCAAGTGTACTAAAACTTGTTTCTAGTGCCAACATTACTATCATAGATAATACAAATTCGATGGATAACAGGGAGCACTTGAGCATCAAAAATGTAAGCCGACTCTTGACGTAGAATAGAAAACAAGAAAGGGCTCTCAAATGAAATAATCGTGCAGATATATACTTACGGATACACTGATAAATATTACCTTAATACAGTTTGACATCATCAGTGGCCAAACTGTTTCTCTGCGGGCCCTGGATAAGGAGGTCCCACGTTGAGATCTTTTTGTGAAATATTTTTTTCTAATAGGAAATGAAACTATTTTTCCGGATTTAAATCGCGTATATTTGTTTTTTCAAACAATCCGACGTTTCGAGTCAACCGTGACCATGGGACCTGTAAAGGGCCCGAAACGTCGGTTTGTTTGCAAACCAAATATACGCGATAAAAAAAAAACAAATATGTATACGCGATTTAAATCCGGAAAAATAGTTTCATTTCCTATGTGTAACAATCGCGAAAACCTAAGAATTTTTTTCTAAATTGGTTTTTCTAGGTAGTGGCCATTATAAGTCCCAAGTTTGCGACCGGGATGTAAGTAAGTCGGTGTGGTTGTATAGCACATTATTATTACCGTGGGGGTAGGCGGACCTTATCAGTCACCACTTTGCATGACCCTGGCTAACCTCTCTAGCTTCACATATATTAATGAATCTTTTCACACAAGTCCTCTTATTTTTCTCAATCCAGCCTTTTCAAGATCGATCTCGATTCGATCCGAAAACGTCTTTCGTGGCCGTTTTCTTTCAATGTTACCTTCCTATGTCATTCCTCCGCTAATAAATTATTAAACCTGTTAAAAATATAATTATTAATACAAAGATCGAACACTCAGAAAAAACACTCAGAAAAAATTCCTTCGATCCGGTCGGATTCGAACCGACGACTTCTTGCATACCGTGCCAGACGCTATACCAACTAAGCCACGGAACGAACCAACGGACCTCATATAGTTTTATTTGTTATATTAATAGTTATAACAAACTAGTGGAGTAATTTCACAAAATAATTGAATATCAATTCAATAAAAATTTAATTAATACAGTGAATAGCGACATCTCTCGCCAGGACTGGTAGCTGTAAAGGTACTAACTGGGTGATAAATCTGTACTAGATTTCTCATAGATGGCGCTACGACTAAAAGTCGTAAAAAAAGTCGAAAAAAAGTCGTTGAAAGACCAAGTACAAAGACACGACGCAAGCACATAAAAGAATTCGTGATGTCCGTTGGTTCGTTCCGTGGCTTAGTTGGTATAGCGTCTGCCACGGTATGCAAGAAGACGTCGGTTCGAATCCGACCGCAGCGAAGGAATTTTTTCTGAGTGTTCGATCTTTGTATTAATAATTATAACAAACTAGTGGAGTAATTTCACAAAATAATTGAATATCAATTCAATAAAAATTTAACGTTTAAAAATATCTCATAAAACACGTCCTTTTTAATTTTTAATGAAAATATCGACGACAGTATCTGTTAATAAAAAGAAAGTATGACAATTATCTTTTAGGAGGAACTAAGAGATTATGACAGATAATTGGTTAATACGGTTTGAGGGTGCAGAGCGAGCATTGCCCAGTTAGCGCGAATATCAAAGATCCGCCCGCTCTTCAATAAAAACAAATAATCTTTACTATCCGTTGATCCAGGCATCACGTTTGCCGGCGCAATATCTATGGACAATTTATTTTTTATAATACTATCAGTAAGTGCTGATGTGATGTGTATCGGATAAACTAATGCCCTTATCGTCGGCGTCCCTTTGCTCGCTATCTGTCTCTAGATATGGATACATACGATATATCTTATTATATATATGAGGTATATCTTCGTGTGATATAATTTTAACCGTTTTGAGATATTTATAATAGTGAGTGTCCGAAATATTGTTTTGCTGTTAAATTCACGTTTATCCACTTCACGAAAATAAGTGTCTATAAATGTTTTATACATTTCCCAAACTCACATTATTGCTATACGATACTTCTTCTTTAATCAAAGACTGACGTTATTGTTCCAACATCATATGTAATACTCGCGTAATTACAACACTATCAAGTCAGTGTAGCTTCGAATCAAGCGACATAATGATGAGGTCGAATGCCGTTAGCGGTGATATCCGAGAAAGTTATTGCAGCAGTGTCGCTGGCACCACGGATAACGTTTCAGCCGACGATTTAACCATATAATATAAGTATATAGTAAATCAAACACTTGTTCATTTTATAATTATTAATAACAAAGACCGAACACTTAAAAAAATTCCTTCGATCCGGCCGGATTCGAATCGATGTCTTCTAGCAAACCGTGCCAGTTGATATATCAACTAAGCCACGGAACAAACCAGTGGACTTAACGAATTTTTCTGTGTGGTTGGTGCAGATCTTTTTTGGTATTTAACGACTTTTTATGCCTTAGCGCCATCTGTGAAAAATTTGTTTCTTTACTCAGAGAGGTCGCTGTAATCATTTTTGTTTTTATTATTGACTGTAAATTAGACGATCTCAAAGTAAGTACTTAAAGCACTTATGTTAAGGAAATCGCAATCAACAACGGTGCTACAAACACCCTAGACAATATAGAAAAGTTAATTTTCTATACTGACCCGGCCGGGATCGAACCTGGGACCTCAGAGCTGGCGACAGCATGAAAAGCGG